GGGTTACCCTCTTGGGAGCCCTAGCATCCTATTTATAATAATATTTAGGGAGAGTATTTACACAATATCTCTATAATATTCTATTACCTCCGTCCCAAAAAGGTTTGTCAAATTGACTTTTTTGGTTGATAGTATTTTTTAATACGTAGTTATTTTGAATACAAAAAATATATTAATTAAAATATTCCTTATTTTTAAATATTTTCATAATTAAAAATATAAAATTTATAAATTATTAACAAACAAAATAACTAAAATCATGATCCAAAATTACTCATATCATTAACGAAGCTAGAAAAGATAATATGACAAATCTTTTTTAGACGGAGGAAGCATCAGACATATTTAGCAGAATTAACCCAAAAATTGAACAAATATATATGAGGCAATATAATGCAAATAATAAACATATGCCTTTATATAAAATAAAACACATAAAATACAAGATTTAATGTGCATTAGCCGTGTTAATAATACTACGTACTATCTATTTTGCAATGGCAGCTGTGATAATATGCAGGTTTTTTACGAGAATATTACTAAAATAAAACTTATTTACATAATATGACTATTCATTACTACAACGTAGTGCTGTGGTCAGGAGCGGATCTAGCATTTGCGTTGAGGTGGGGCCTAATATTAATTAGTGATACGTAATTTATTTTGCAAAAAATGTTAAAATTACAAGATTTAGTTATATAATTTTATAGAAGTGTCAAAGAAAAAATAATAAATATTACAAAACCGAAAATTTAATTATCTTAAAAGAGCCATAGATATCTAACCGAAATTGGCTTGTGTCAGTTAATGACGTGTTCAATATCAATTTTCAAATTGATTTCTCGAAAATCAATTTTCTTTTGACTTCATAGCCTATGCTCTATGTAAAAAAGTAAACTAATTAAATTTCACCTACCAAGCAGAATGAATTGAACTTATTAACTTTTCGAATCAATATTCAATTGTTAGATGATGTGAACTAATTAATTTTAGACTAATATTCAAAATTCTAATGAATCGAATTAATTAATTTTTCAAGCTAATATTCAAAAGCCAAATGATTTGAACTATATATATTTTGCAAACCAATTACCAAAAGCCCAGACAGTGTATCAAAAAATATACTCATGTTGCATTGAAAAATTATAAATATGGTGCCTAGGGGACTTGAACCTTACTCCTTTTGTTGCATAATTAGTGTGCTTCCATTGGACCAACTTGATTGATGTTAACAAATTGACATTAGCTTTTTTTATATCATAACTACTAAAACACTATATATTAATATATACATAGTATATATATAAAAATAATTATATTTTTTTGAGCATGGGCCTAGGCCCACCCTGGCCATGGGCCAGATTCACCCCTGGCTGTGGTAACTAAAGTTCAAAACTTGAACATGAATTATTATGATTTCATTACTACTCTAATAATGAATCATATTTTTGTAAACCATCATATGCTGCAATAAGTGTGATCATATTTTCGCAACAACTCAGTGAGCATATATATATACTCAGATTTTTTCTTATAAAAATATTGTTTTCTGTAATATTTTAAGAAATAACCTTAAATGTATACCGACAATTTATATAATTGCAGGGAATAGATCTATCGTTGTATCGAATCATACTATTAAAATTTAATCATTTCACAAAGAAGTACTCTAATTACTTCAAGAGTTTGAGGTGTATAGCAAGCAATAAGAGCATCTCCAATGGGAGGGTGCATTGCATCTGATGTGGCATAGGAGAGAGATAGAGATAGAATAAATATTGGGATGAAGTGGTGTGTAGGGAAAAATGAAAAAGAGGAGAGAGATAGAGGTAAAAATGGACCAAGGTCTATGACAAGGTCCATATATGGACCTTACACGGGATTCGAGGAGGAAAAGTTGACGAAAAGTGGGTTAAAAGTGATATAAAAAAATGAAAATGAAAATAAATTGGGAAATATGTGGGTCCTACACATAAAATTTGTGAGATAAAAAATGGGACCCATGTGTAAGGGTGTGTAAGAGACCACACCCTTGCATTGGAGATGCTCTAAGGGTTATTCTGGGACAGAAATGGGGTGGTCAGTCACACGCATGGCTGTTTGGTCCCCATCCAAAAGACAACGTTCGTACCCGTTTGCCTGTAAATAATAAAAACCGTTTGCGAGTGCTATAAGTCTGTTATTCAATTTCTTTGGCTTGATGATAACTCCTCCACCCGCGAAGCAAAAAGAAAGCCAGGCCAGAACAACCCTTTCCCTTTGTTTTGTGGGTTGATAATGACATCAGTCCCATGCTATTATGACGTTCTTTTTTTCTTCCATTCAACTTCACTACAAAAAAAAATTACGGGATTGGCACGGAATTTGGCACGAACTTACCGATTTTTCGTGCCAAATAGCTCGTGCCAAAGTGTTTTTGGTACGGATTTGACATATCCCTGCCAAAATCCCTGCCAAATCCCTGCCAAAATCCCTGTCAATCTCGTGTTTTTTTGTAACTACCTCTGTCTCCTTAATATTGGGACGAAAGAAAGAGTGATGTGGTTTTTAAGAAAAATAGAATTCAACGATAATGAGTTGATAAAATGAGAATAAAATGAGAATAAAATAAGAATGAATTAGATCCACACAAATGCTACGAAATATGGTATAAGACATTAATAGCTAGGGAGCATCAAAAAATGAAAAAATTATAGGGGGCGGAGGGAGTACTTTATAACACATAAGTAGTTGATATAACACATATGGATGAAGTAGTTGATTATGTTCATAAAATTTCAGTTACAAATTTAATCGGGACGTCACTAGTTAGTTAAATAGGTTTTTTTTAATAACTGCGTTTTTTAATTAATTTGGCGTAGTTATTTTCAAAATTTTGTTTAACAGACTTCCCGATTGAATTTTTAGCTTAAATTTAGTGACATAATCTGCAATTCATGGATAACATGCTCAAAACATTTCATAAAAAAACTCCACCTGGAACCACCTCAATCAAAATCACGAGGTGGCCAGACAGCAGTCCTTTCCAGATATTCCCGGCATCCGGATAGGATGCTCCGTCCGGCCACCTCCATTTGAGGCGGTTTCCTTAGAGTTTTTTCCATAAAATTTTGCGCATGTTCTTCATGAATTGTAGATTATGTTCACAAAGTTTCAACTCAAAATTCAATCATAAAGTGTAGATTATGTCCCAAATGAAGATGGATGGACTGAGATTTCAATCAGGAAGGCTTAAATTAAATGAGAGTGATTCTGGAGCGTTGGACTTGGGTGGCATGCATAATGTGCACTAACAAAATGTCTGTACATCCCGTATATTTAATTAAACTGATTAAATTCTTGCAAAAAAAAAAACTGATTAAATTGCTTATAATTTAACTACACTGATACTCCGTATATTTTACTCCCGTATAATTTTCTTACGGAGTATATTAAAATTGACATGGCTGATGCTTAAATGTTAAAGTTACACTTCGTACTAAATATATTGTAATTTCAAATCATAATGGCTACTTTTAATTAACTGACAACTACATGAGTGAGGGTAGTGTATGGAAACCACATGACCCATTGGTTGACACACTATGAACCACGGTAACTTTCTGCGGCTCACGTCTCCTCGTTTCGGAAACTCAAAATCATTTCGGAACTTAGGAAAATTCAAATTCCCGTATTGTGGCATTTCCGTGTATGCATGGACCCAGGCCAGGTCGGGCCCGGTCGGGCTTTTGAGGTTTGGGGGAAGGCCCGAAACCGGCCCGGGTCCCCACCGGGTACGGGCTGGACTAGGCCGAACCTCGGGCTTCTTAGTTTTTTTTTTTTTGCCTTTTCTACTTAACCCCCGACCACCCCCCTCACCCCCCACCCCCAAAACATCCCAAAACACCCAGCCGACCAGCCCCAACCCAGAATAAAAGAAAAAATTGAAGGGGAAAAAAACGGAACCGGGCCCGGACCGTCCGGGCCGGTTCGTCTTTTGGGTGACCCGAGCCCGCACCATAAACCCCCCGGGCCAGACCTACCCGGACCGGTCCCTGGCCGGGCCACCGGTTCGGGCCGGGACCAAACAGTGTCGGTCCGGTTCCGGCTCGGGCCACCCGGCCCGAGTCCATGCCTATTTCCGTGTAAGTAATTAAGAAGAGTTGGGAAACCCGTTTCCCGAAATAGTAAGCATTTCGGAAACCTTGGATTTCCAATTCTTTACTTTCTTAAGAGATTCTGTGATGAAAATAGTCTTTGTTTTAAAAAAAAAATAGTGAACTTTTGTGATATTTCCAACATTATGACATTTCGTAACGCAATGAATTGCTAGTAATTTACTGTATTTAATGAATAATTATGTACTATGATGTGATTTCAAAATGTGAACATGTGGAATGTTTTATTATTTGGTCATTATACAAATTACATGGAAAAATTATGTACATATATGAAAAGTATTTACGGATATATCCTTATATTTTTTAATTTACGCGTTTCCCCTACGTTCCGTATCCTGTTTTTTTTAAGTACGTTTCTCGCGTTTTGTATTTCTCGTTTCACATTTCCCGTTTTGCGTTTCCGTGCTACTTAGTTGACACATATGCATGACACACACAATGTTCATGCAAACTCATTCGAGATAGCAAGGGGAAAATTGTAATGCATCAAACTTGAGGACATTGGAAATGAGACTTATAGAAACATGGAACTCTCGTGGACGTACATACAATACCCTTAGCATTTCATAAATAAGTAGATACGCTTTAATTGAGGGGGACTTGGATGTGGGAAGAGATATGGAGGTTGTCCTTCAAAAAACGTATTGGGGGTTTTAATTTTCATTTTACGATTGAGCTAAACCCTTCCTGTTTGGGGTTAAGATATACTACGTATTTTTTATTTCTTAGTGTCAAGTTGGGTTTAGGGAAGATATTTTGTTGACTCGTGCAACTCGGTTTAGAAGTAATGCATATAAGAAGTTTGTGTTTCATATATACATGTTGTAGGAACACAGGATTGGGACCTCGTATCTATTGAGAAGAAATAGATTGTTTCAGTACTTTTTGTTTGAGGGATGTACAATAATAGATTCGTGTCAAGTATAATACATAAGACATCACCGAAAGATCAAGTTGCAAAGTGATTAGTGTAGATATTTAGCAGATTCAACTGTTCGAAGTGAAACAAACGTATCTAGAACGACTGGCCATCTTACCGTACTTCAATTCCTCCTACTTTCTCTAATACTTTCTCTAGGATGTATTGCATATTACAGCCCATTTTCTCCGGCATTCTTTTGCCCCACGAACAAATCTGGACTTGCCATCTCTTTCAACTTTTCTGATTTGCTCATCCTGCTCAATGCCCGGTATGGCAGTAAATTCCTCCGGGCATCGGGGTCTCTATCCTCTACCCATTCCGACATCGCGGTTTTCTTCTGCTGCTCCTCACACTTGCACAAGTACTTTTACTGTTTGCATTAAAAATATATTCCAAAAAAAGATATACAACACACTATACTATAGAGAACCACTTGATAAATCCTTTTTTAATTTTTTTGGGTGATTGTCTTGTTTGATTAGTGAATGAATATACACCTCAATCGTACCTGCAATTAGAAATAAATATATAAATAAAAAGAATAGATATGTACTAATAGAAGATATCATCTTGAGAAGTAGCATGATCTTTCTAGCTATATATTAACACAACTTACAATCTCTGAAGAAGTAACATGAATATCAAACATCAAAGTCACAGAAATTCCTTTTTCCTTGTAATTACAGTTCTTTACTCCTGAAATAAAAAAGAAATGGTGTTGAAAAAAACAAAGCAAATCTGAAATTGAACTCAAATTACACCTTGTCAAAAAGATGACACATTGACTTTGAATGAGCTATGGACATCATGAGAATTCTGAATGAGCTCGCTTAATCCAAAGTCACCAAGTTTTGAAATAATATCAAGACAAAATTCAATAAAATATGAATGAGCACACACGTGCGCCAAACTCCAATAAAACTAACTCTTTGGTTTGTTATGCTGGGTATTCATCTTTACAGAAGAGTTAATTTTACTAACTCGTTGGTGAAATATGTCAATCTGTCAAATATTCATCCTTATAACTAATACCAAAAAGCAAAGATATGGAAAATTTAAGTTACACTAACATTGTCATAACTTTACCCTTTATGAAGCAAAACACGTTAGAAGTGGTGTTTACTTTTGGGGAAGAAATGAGATATTTCCAATAACTTTAACAAACAGGAGAAGACATGTTAGTAAGCCAATTAATAAAAAACCTATTAACAGGAAAAAACATTCATAAACACCATATCAACCACCAATTTTAAGAATACCTGTTTTTGGAATGTCTTGGGCTCATTAGGCATTTCAGGTTGAAACTAAAGCAGTCCAATTCATGTCAATAGCATCATCCATTGCTAAACGATCCCTCAACCCCATTTCTGGAAGAAGCGTTGAACTCGTGAGGAACTGTGATTTAACTTCATTTGCAAGGAAGGACAAATCAAAGGCGTCTGAGCTCTGATGATTTTCAAAATTCGAACACAGAAGGTGAGTGGTTTTAGATGATCGAAATCCGAAAGAATGGGAAAGGCAACTTCACTTAGATTAGATGATTCGAGATAGAAACTAAAACATACTCCTTTTTTAGAACATCCCACAAAGCAATGGTAAGAAGAAAAATTGTCAAAAAACTAAAATAAGATAATTCTGAATGAAAACAAAAGAGGGAGAAAATGCCTTATATTTGCAATCTCGTGTTTCATCTTTCTAAAAAAAATCATCATGTGGATGCAAACAAACCCAAGTAATGATAAAAAATAGATAACAAACAAAAAACTCAAACTTATCAATAGAAGAAAGGGGAAAATGGGCTAAAAGCTATTGAAGGCACTACTTAGTTTAGACAAACATGATGAATGGAAAAATTGTTCATCTTTCTAATGAGCATGAAATTATTTAAGCATTAAATATTAAACAGTTTTCTAAATACAGAAGAATATCAGCATCAATAATATAAATAGATCATTTCCATTTGAGAGATAAAAGAACAACTGTGCTTTTACATACATATCCCTTGAAGGTTGGATGTCCTTGGGAAGGATATCAATGTATCATTTGTCTCGAAAATACATGACTAAGCATATTTTAGTGCGCTACTGCAATGAGAACAATTAGAGGATTAAAATTTAGCAATAACATAATATAGGAGGGATCTAGGGAAGAAATAGAATACAACTGTAGTAAACTGAAATGAAAATTTACAAACTACATTAACTAAGAAGTAGAGACTTGATGTCCAACATCAGATTTGGGTGTTATGCCTATATGTATACCAAATACATATATTGAAGTACTCAACATCCAATGGACATAAAAATAGGGGAGCCTGCATCTAAATGGTCACCTTCTGCATCTTAATAGTGATTACTGCACAGTGGTTAGATATGATCACTTTTTTGCGAGGATGTTATTTCATACATTCTGAATCAAAGAGATAGGGATTTAGTGAGGGCTATCCCTTTGAGCAGGCGGGCAGTTCTAGAATGCATCATTTGGAGATAGAGGAAGCGTGGGGTGTACTCGGTTAAGAGTTTTACCGACGGTTAGTAGGGGAGGCAACCCCCACGGGTATCGGGTGGGTTGGTTGGACAAAGATGTGGGGTTTTGGTTTTCGTCTTCCTCCCAAGGTGAAAACCCTTTTTTAGTAGGTTTGTTCAGGTTATTTGCCATCTGCTAAAGAGCTGAGTCAGAGGAAGGTGAACTGCTCAGTGAGGTGATGACTGTAAAGAGAAGAGAAGTGAGTCTTTGCTGCATTTATTTGTCAAATGTCCTGTAGTGACAGCAAGTTGGAGGTCTATATGCTGAAATCCTTAGTAGCAGACTAGCAGGCATTGATAAAGTGTTTTTTAAGTCTTATGCATTTTAGCATCTTAAAATGATATCTTTAATCAATTAATTTAATGTGATATGTATATTGGAGGAAGATTGAAAGTATAAAAGAAAATAAGCCTGCCATGCTCAAATGAGATTGCAGAACTCCCACTTTTATTTGTATAACATTTCATACTGAGGTTTCTGGCAAAAAGGATTCTGGGCGGAATGATTTTTTCTGGGTTTGTCCGCCTGAAGGATTTTCCTCATTCCAGGATCGATCCCACATGACGGGAAGGATTTTTGTCAGAATTGAATTTCGATTGAGAAGTCAAGAAGTGAAAGAGGTTAGACAATTTGTTGCATTCTACTTTTATTGTGCATATCTTATTCAATCATCGTCTCCTTTTTTTCCTTTTTTTCTTCCAAAGGTATTTATTGGTTCTATAATCATCTATGTAGTTTATTATGGAGTATATGGAAAATAAGGTACTATCCAAAAATTGATAAGAATTATAATAAGTTGTGTTGTGTAAAAATACATAAAACAACACAGCAAATGGTGAAAATGGGCTGCTCCAGAATAGAACTATGGGTGTCAACAAAACATGCTTTGGAAAACCTTCAGAATTATAAAGACCAGCTACCACGACTGAATTGATTATGTATCCTTTCTCACCCATATCACTGATTACCTTAGGTTCCAAATGAACACCTACTAGAGAAATACATTACAATACCTCAGTTATAGTGACATTATACTTTCAGTCTTCGACTTTGACGTCTTCTATTTTTAGTCCAAAATAATCCCGATGACTAAAAATAGAGAGAACTCAAATCAAAGATAGAGTGAAAATATCACTAATCAAAGACAGAAGAACTATTAACTTAATTTTCTGTTTTCCACGTGTATCCAGCTAAATGTATTAAACTTGAAAGTAAGGATATGATTTAAACTTGACACGTCTTGACAGTCATCAAGCATGTACACACTTCCATCTTATTCAAGTTTTTGTAAAACTAATAACTGTGCATTGACCAACTGCAAAACCCGTTGTTTCTGGATAATGTAAAGTATTTACCTCTCCAGCTGCTTCAATAGCAGCCAACCACTCATCGGAAAATGGAACTGCATAATAAACTACATAAAAAGGTACAGCATTTAAAGACCTAGTTTATTTGATCTGTGGTAAGTGGAAGCGCCTTTCTTCAAGCCAGGCATTGAAATTTGTTGTTGTTGCGTCGCCCTCTTCTCACTCTCCTTTTCTTTCTTTCTTCTCTCATTCTCCACTTAGACATTCCTCAGATTTTCTAGTTCTTCCTTCATGGCTGTTTTCTCATCCTTTTGTTTCTTTTTGTGTTCCAACATGGAAGTATCCGAGTCCTTAACAGAGAAAAACATGGGGGCCATCTCAGCTAACCACTGCGGTTCAACTGCCGTAACACACTGCATATACTCCTTTGTCGTCAATATCAACTCATGAAACACGACATAATCTGGCGTGTAACCCAACCCATAGAGTGCATCGGTGGGATGCAGGTGACATGGCATTCCATTCCTACAATTTACATATTCACCCACACCCTTAAGTCTAGCTGCATTGTGAAAATATGCAGAGCAGATTGCCTTTCTCACAATATCCCAGTCCGGGCCACACGAGGAGAGGGAGATTTTGAGCGTTGTGAGAATATCCAGCAGTTGAGATCTCACCTCCCTTGCCTTACGCAGACCTTTGACATGTAAGAAATGATCGTTACACCAGTCGCCCCTGTACTGATTCGCCGTCCATTGCTGGTACACATTTAGCAGTGTGAGATGATCGGATTCTGGCACAAAGAACTTCTCCCGGGCAGCATCACTCTCTTCTGCCCGATCCTTGGGTCTGAAAAAAACTGAAGGTACTGAAAGCATCGCTACAATGGTGAGAACTTCGTTCAAGCACTCCAGTTGTTCTCCCATCAGAAGCATCTTAGCAAGAGGCGGATCCAACGGGAACTCCACCATTTTCCATCCAAGACCAGTTAGGTCACCGACGTTACTAAGGGCGCCCAATACCCACAGCTGGTACATGGAGTTGAGGATGTTTTCCTGAGGTGGTGGATCCATAAAATCAAAATCTAACAAATTTGAGATCTTGAGAGACTTTAGCAGTAATACGACATTTCCAAGGTTTGTCCTTTGGATCTCTGGTACAGGGCTTGGAAGCATCTCGTTCAAGTATGCACTCTCAGTATAGAGTCGGTAGCAAGTTCCAGGCCCTGTTCTACCAGCCCGCAATGCTCGCTGGTTTGCCGCTGCTTGACTGACCGGAAACACTTGAAGGGCATCCATACCCATGCGCGGATTGTACACCTTCATCTTGCAGTAGCCGGTATCAATCACATAGAAAATTCCATCAACGGTTAAGGATGTCTCTGCAATGTTTGTGGCAACAATGCATTTGCGTTCTCCTTCCCCGGCCTTCTGAAATATCTTAGCCTGCAAATCAGAAGGTAGTTGGGAGTAGATGGGAAGGATGAGTAGATTCGCTACAGCTTGTTTAGTTGAGGCCACTAACTGTTCCATTCGCTCTTGGAGTGCGTAACATGTAGCTTCAATCTCATCTTGACCAGTCATGAATATGAGTATATCACCGGGAGCACTACTTATGTGGATGGTCATAGCCTGCTTTACTGCAGCCTCTACATAATCTTCACAAGGAGTTTTGCTGTACATATGTTCAACGGGGAATGTTCTACCCGGAATGTTGAAGATTGGTACACTTCCAAAAAAGTCCGAAAATTTTCGTGAATTCAGCGTGGCAGCCGTTACAATAAGCTTAAAATCACGACGCCGAGAAACAACTTTTTTAAGTATGCCAAACAGCACATCAGTGTTTAATGATCTCTCATGTGCTTCGTCCATCACAACGACACTGTATTTTTCAAGATCAGAATCCTTTACCGTCTCGCGTAGAAGCACACCATCTGTCATGTACTTGATAACAGTGTTTGGTCCAGTCACATCTTCAAAACGAACGGCATATCCTACTTTATCTCCAAGCGCAGTTTCCATCTCTTCACTAACTCTCTTTGCGACACTCATAGCTGCTACACGCCTAGGTTGGGTGCAACCAACTATCCCATTCTTTGTGTAGCCCTCTTCATGTAGGTACTGGGTCAATTGTGTAGTCTTCCCTGAACCAGTTTCTCCGACAACTACCACAATCTGATTTTCACGAACAACCTGCATAAACTCGTCGCGAACAGAAAATATGGGCAAATACTGCCTCTGCTGCAAGAGTGTTTTGGACTTTGCAAAGTCACTTACTGCTTCCCCTTTCTTTAGGTGCTGTGAAAACCTAGCTTCTTCCTTGAAATCAACCTCACCTTGTTTTGATCCAGCAAGTTCCCAAAACCGTTGACGAGATTTATGCATACTTTGTTTTTCATGTATTTCGCGGACAAGAGCTGAGCCTTTCCTAGATATTATGGCCATATCTGATGTAGGGTCCTTGATTGGCATTACTGGTTCAGCTTGTTTTGTGACGACAATTCTTCCATCCAGAAAAGGGGGTTTTGTATCATGGACTAGCAGGATAACCTTCCCTTCATCCTCATCATCAAATTCTGTTTGCCCTTTAACACCATGTCTAGTTCTTTTTCTCCTGCTGTCATTATTGTACTGATTCCCAGAACGTGATGATTCCCTGCGCCGATAATCCTCAACATGAGCGTTGTCTCTACTTTTTCTCCTATAATCATCCAGCACATCCAGCCCAGGGAGTGATTTGCGCTCAGATTGTGTAGAAACAACTCGAACCTTCTCAGGAATACAGAGACGGCCACTATCAGGTTCCAAAGTTGTGATTGTCGTATCCATTTTGACAGATGCGATATTCTCTTGCTCGGTTTCTGAAGTAGCGTGATAAAACGAGATTAGAACCCTAAGCTTTGGCACCAGAACAAAAGAACGGCTCAGAGAAAATAGATCGAACAGCGGCTGGAGGAGAGAGCCGATCTTAGGGGTTTGTGAGGATAATATATAGGTTATGCCCGGTGGATTTCCCAATAGAGCTTTTTTCTAAAAACAAATTCATTCCGATTTCAACATTCCTAATTTCCTACTCACATACTACGACTACTATTGGGAAAGTTATAATAGTAAAAGAGTTTGAAAATTCCAAAAATAGAACTGACATATTTTTATTCCTAAAATAAGAGTAATTACTGTCAAGTTTGAAAAATACTGTCATGTTTGAAGTCCGATACTGCCAAAAAACATGGTAGTAACTAGTCATATTTTGATAATAAAAACATGACAGTCCGATTTTCGAATTTTCAAACTATTTTAATCCTATTTCGGGTAATATTCTCTTAAAAGAATTAAAAAATAGGTAGTTAATTTTGAAATATATTTATTAGATGAAATTCAAATTTAATTTATTTAAAAACGCAAATGTTATAATGTTTTTAAAGAAAGGAAAAATGCACTCTTATTAAATTCACTAGTATAGTACCCGTGCATACGCACGGGAGAAAGGAGTTGGTGCATATATTTTTACCCATGATCTAATTAAATATTAAAATAAAAATAACTTTTTGGGAGTCTATATTTTCGAGAAATAAGAGTAATTACAATAAGCTAATATCATAAAGTATAAGTCATACAATAAATATTCAATAAAGAGTATATTAGAAAAAATTAGTTGACACCACTCATTAGAATTTGCTATCCATTAGTTTTCATTATTAAAATAATTTTAAAATCAAACACTATTCTAAAAATAGTGAGTGCAATACGTAAATGACATAAAGTTTAAGTGAATACAATAAATATTAAAATTCACAAATATTAGTTAAATGGCAACTTGTTAATCGTTAATTTAATTAGTGCTAATATATTAGATAGAGAAAACTGTCCTACTCAATTGTTAGCCGACTTATTTAATGAGTACTTAAAAGGATTACATATGAGAGAAAATTATATCGCTCAATTGTTAGCCGGATTATCTTATACCTAAAAGCACTATATGTGAGAGAAAGAATTAGCATGCTCAGTTGTTAGCCGAATTATCATCCACTTAAAAAAAGCTACATATGACCGAGAAAGTTCCTCCGCTCAATTGTTAGAAAATTATTTTCTTATATCCTCATAACTAAAATCACTACATATGAGAGAGCAAATTCTCCCGTTCAATTATTAGCTAGGCAGTTTATCTTATACCTAAAAGCACTATATATGAGAGAATAAAATTTTCCCTGCTCAATTGTTTGCCGGATTATTTTATACTTAAAAGAGAGAAAAAGTTCTTACGCTCAATTGTTTTATTTTGGCAAAACTTTCTAACCTTTTATAGTCTCTGTTCTAACTTCCGCTCAATTGCAAGAAAGTTTATTTTCTTATCTCCTTATACCATTGTTGAGGTTTATTCCCGAAGATCCGAAAGCCCAACACAAGCCTTGGATATTGTAGGGATATTGGGTAGGGTTGAAATGTGTATAAAATATAAAATAGTGAAATAATATCCAACTCAAGAACTTACTTATATTCTGTAATTAAGCAATTACACTGAAACTACCCGAACGGTAGATGAATATGAGATTACAAGGATGGGAGATGTAAATCTATTGCTAAGCTCTGAGTATTAAAATGCTAACCCTTTACAATGATCTAAACATGGGTATTTATACTAAAATGGGGATGGGTAAGGTGGACACGTGGTCGAATCTGGTAGGCTATCACCTCTGCCATGTAAGCACCCATGCCCCCACTTGCTGCCGTCATGATCTAGCATTAAATGCGGCCTCCACTTGCTGATTGCCCGTTCGGGCGAGGTGTTCGGTGTGTGGGATCCCGCCATAGGTTTATTTCTACCTGAAGTATCCCGAACGCCGATCGATATTTGGGCCTGGCTACCTTGGCATAATCGTTACCCAGAATGTTCCAAGTATAAGTTTTATCCCGAATGCCGTTCGGGAGTTCTTTGGGCTTGCTGCTTCTTCCCGGATTTGGGCCTAGGGATATTGGGCCTGGACCAAATATCCCAACACTAGTCCCCCACTTCCTATGTCTCGAACGGTAGTGAGTGCATAAGGAAGTAGAAGATTATTGCCCGAATGCTGTTCGGGTGAGTATCGGATGGCATTCCGCCGGTTCTCGAAGCATATTTTGACGGTTATTTGCAACTGCCGTTTCACTTCTCCGATAAACGTCATGATTACTTGAGAAAGATTCTCTGTGCGACACGTGTCTCTGTCATTATTACAAAAAACGTGTCCTCTTCTGATTGGCAGCTGAATCGGCGTGACAGAGTATAAATAGGCTCTTCTGGTTTTGATTCTGGGTTTCGAAACTTTGCATCTCCGGCTTATCATTCATCCTCTCTAGAGCTATTCCTTAGTTCTCGCTCAGGTACTTTCTGGCCTTTGTTTTTCTTCTATCCTCCTTGTTCGATCGGTATGGCAACCCGTCTTCGTCCCTCCGAGTGTTCTACCTCAAACGTTGATCTCCCTGAGAATACTCCTAGCCTGGCACTGGAGGTCACTCCTATCCCGGCGGAGGTCCCCCACGACGATGCCTCTTCATCCGGAACTTATCCCGATGGTACCAAATCCGGGGGTGAAATGGAGGCCATGGAAGCCGGTCCCCCTAGCGGCGTTTCTTGCCATAAGCTTGACCTAGCCCTAATTAGGCTGATGCGTCAAAAACTTACGGCCCAAAATAGGGCCCAAATCCAGATGATGATCCCGGACTCGGTGGATTTCCGACTCCAGGCCGGGCTTCACCCAATGCGTCATTTCCCTGGGATGGTAGTGGTCCACTTTGACTCAATTAAGGCCGGTCTTAGGTTTCCACTCCACCCGTTTTTTGTCTCTTTCTTAAATTTTTACAATGTAGTACCAGCTCAGATAATGCCGAACTCCTACCGGTCGATAGCTGGTTTCATTTGTCGTTGTCACAATGTCAAGGTCATACCCACTCTAGAGCTTTTCCACTATTTCTTTTCGGTTATCCCCCAGCAGTCCCACGGCTTTCTGGTGGTAAGCTCCCGACCAGGACACATTTTGTTCTGTGAGGCTCCTTCTTCTATTAAGGGTTGGAAGGATAGGTTTTTCTTTGTCTCTGTCCCGAACGGTTTGATCCCTAGGAAGTGGAACGCATTCCCTCCTAAATCCCCCGAGCCATTTATCTCCGAGGAGCTTAGCAAGGATGTCATCGCTGTGGAGGCGGGAGGCTGCTTCAAAATTATGTCCTACCTGACTCCCGAACGGCTGATTAAGGCCGGGATAGGTACTGCCCGTATTCCTGGACTTACTTGACTGAAAACCAAGTACCATGGCCCGGGCGGTCCTTCCCGTGTGATATAATTTTTTAATCCACGTGTGAACCGCTCGGTACTAATTTGTTCCTTTTGTCTTTTCAGCTCCAAAGCAAGGCGAATCTTCAGATTCCGAAGGAGGCAACCCCGAACAGCCGGCAATGGATGACAACAGGCTCTTTACCGTTGGTTTTGACGATGAGCCACCAACCTCTCCTCCCCAGCAGCAGAGGAAGACAAAGAGGAAAAGGTTGAGGAAGGCCGATCAGGGGACATCCTCCCGATCCGCCCCCCTCCTCCCCGAGCAGCCTGAACCTGTTCGGGATGTAGAACCTGTGCAGCAGGTTGCTTCTGATCAGCAAACTCATGCTGACACGCTGATGGATCAGCTTTTTTCTGATCAGCAGTCCCACCATTTCTCTGCTGAGGAGGTGGCTGCCCATCAGGCTGACTTGGCTAGTCAGTTCGAGCGGATCTCCCTCTCTGATCCTGCTCATGAGATGTTGGAGCGGGGTGGCTGTCCGGCAAGCCAGATCTGGTCCACATCGGGATTCTTTAATGGCCACAATCTTCCCCCGATACCGGTGGAGGAGGCCGAGGAGTGTATTGCTCTGTCTGTCCTGAAGGTAGTTCCTTATCTTGTGTTCATAATTTACTTTTCCCCTTTTCCCCGTTCAATAGCTTACCATGCGCTCATTCCTTACTTTCTGATCATTAGGCGGGGATATACAGCCTGAAACTTAGAGAGGCCAGGCAGGCTAGAGAACAGGGCCTGTTGATGGCCAAGGAAACAGCTGAGCAGGCCGTGGAGGCCGAACGGCGAGCATTCGCCGAGGAGCGGAAGAGGCTGGAAGCTGAGGCCGGGGAGCTTCGTGTCAGGGTGGGCTCTCTCCAAGCCAAAATCGCGGCAGCTGAGGCCGCTCAGGTCAAATTTTCCGAAGCTCCTCCTCAAATCCCGGACGGCCCGGCTGAAATGTTAGTTGATCTATCTGCCGTTCGGGATCAATTCAAAGTTTCCGAGGAGTTTCTAGCTCTCAAGGAAGAATACGCCACCGAACAGCTCCCTGCAGTCTTCGGAAGGCACCTGGAGAAACTTTCCGGAGAAGAGCGCCAGAAGGAGGGGATCAGGGTGCTTGACCGGCACCCTATCACCAAGGAGTGGGCTGACAATCTCGCCCGAGGGGTGTACAGCTCAGGCTGTCAACATATGCTCCAGCCCCTCCTTCCCCTCCTGGAAAAACACATGGGCCGAGCAGTGCAATCTTCTGACTTCCCCTCTGACCTCCATCCGGGTCATCTGAACGCCCTAATGGCACAGATGAAAAAGTGCCGGCGAGCCCTGGGGATGGAGGTGGTGCAAATTGTTGATGAGGCTGATGAAGATGATGACGAAGACGATGAAGATCATCCCGAACAGTAGATTAGACATTGTATTTCCTTTCCTTTGAATCAGTAGTTTTTGTACTTTCCGGTCAGTAGAGCCGACGAATATACAACTTTTGCCTGCTTATCTCGTCTTTGTGACTTTTACTGTACTTTATATTTGTTTTTCGCCTATCAATTCGCCTCCGCAATACGTTTCATGTTGCTTTGTTCCTGTTTTAACCAGTCTTCATAATTTATAGCGGTCAGGCCACCTGTTCGGGTGAACTCCTCGTTAAATCCAGAATTCAGGACTTAAATCTTGTGAACGCATGTTGTTCATAACGAACCCGTCCAGTCTGTACTTATGA